GTGTCTTGCTCTCTTCGCCTTGGGGAAACATCCCTTTGGCTAGGAGCGGCCGCCTCACGCCCATGTCGGTTGTCTTGCCTGGGCGGGGGCCTGTTGGCTTGGGGCGAGTTATGTCTTTCCCTGGCGGGTTCCTGCCGCGAGCGGTGTGCATAGTCTCTGCAATCCGCGGTGTCGTGCCCGTAGGACCTATGGTGCAAACAGTATCCGAGGAGGTTCGGATTGGACCTATTTCTAGGTGCAAAACCTAGACCTCGGCCTCTCCCTCTATGGGGTCCCTGATGCGCCTGTAGCTGATGTGGGTCAGTGGTTGGGATGACATCCTCATACGCCAAGGTTGGTACCGCGTTCAGAGTTGTGGTGGCCAGGGCTTGGCCGGAGTTCTCATTTCCAGATCGGTTCATCTGGTAGTCCATGAGGTGGGAGGTCGGCCCCCTACCTCGCTGTCTCTGTGGAGGTGGGAGGCCCCTGCTTGCCCTGTTTCTATGCTCAATCAATTCTTCATTGATTATCTCTCTTCTCATCATTTCTAGTAGGGCGTCATAGGTGGTTGGGTCCTGATTCTGCACGTCCCTCCAGAATAGGGTGTTCATGTTCAATCCTCCTCTTAATGCAGATAGTGCTTCCCTGTCGGTGACTTGCACACAATAGGTCATCTCGTCGGTGAAGCGGGATAGGAAGCTTTTCAAGGACTCTCCATGCGCCTGTCTCATGTCTTGAAGACGCTGGATGGGGGCCTCTCCTTCCTTGCTCACTGCGAACCTCTTTAAGAAAGTAGTTTTGAACTCAGGCCAGCTTCGGATGCTCCCAGATGGTAGCCTACTATACCAGATTTCAGCCGCTCCACTGAGGGTTAAATGGAATGCTCTGCACTTCACAGCTGGGGTGGCGCCCCTCAGGCTCATGTGAGTTTTGTAAGCATTGAGGTGCTTTTCTGGGTCACCTCTCCCGTCATACTTTGGTATTTTCGGCATAACATAGTGGCTCGGGACCTGGGCATCTCTTAGTTCCCTTGAGAATGGCAGGTTCTCATCGTCATCGTCCAAGTCACAGGACCTCTGCTGCTCATCAGAATCGTAATCTTCGGCCTCGTACCTAGGTTGTTGGTGAGAAGGTCCTGGGCGGTTCCTAGCCTCTTCCTCCCTCCTTGGCGGCCTACTTCTAGGCGGGACAGCGCGGGGGGCATTTTCATGCCTTCTCTCCGGCTGTTGGGGCATCGGAGGTGGGGGCTGTGGCCTCGTCCGAGGCTGCTGAGCTTGCTGTTGACTGGGCCTTGGTTCGGCAGGGCTGATTCTGTCAAAAACACTTCCTGCTCTCCTTTGTCTTGGGTCTTGCTCATAAGGAGGTGGAAAGTTATCATGGCTCATTTGGACCTCGGAGGGTCGGCCAGATGCATAATTGGAGGAAATGTCAACTCCCACTTCCCTCTCGAATGGATTTTCACCTCGGTCATAGTCTGGCGAGGCAGCCCTATGACTTTGGACCTCGTCCTCTTGCTGATAGTGCCCATGGGGGGCATATGGAGGAATGGGGAAACCTCCTTGGCCTTGCATCTGGACCATGAGCTCTCTCATGGCCAAGTTTTGGTTGGCTATATCCCTCATGTTGGCTGCCATAGTAGCCATTTCTCTTGATAGTCGTGCCATCGCACGCATCCCACCTCTCCTTTGGTGGTGGTGGAGCCTCTGCCGAACTACTGGGGCAGCAGGCTGGGGAGGCATATTCGTATTTTCTCTTACCCTCCTTGGGGGGGTATCTTCATTAGAACTCATTTTTCTTTTATCAAACTTAGATTTCTCTAAGTGATAGGGGTACCTCCTGTTCTTTTTCAAGAACAAATCCTTTTTCAAGGGGGGTTGCCCAAATGTTTTTTTCAGTAAGCTTTTACCACAAGGTTGCTCGTGGTTATGGTATGGGTTCCCACAGACGGCGCCAATCTGTTGACCCCAAAAAGTGTGCCAACAGATGCCGGTCCCACCCGCGCTTGCGTGGGCGAATGTCCAACACGCTAAGACACGTGGACGGGCCTTTTGACATTATACAACGGGGGTATTTATAGTTATACATATGGAATGGGAGCCCTTGGATGAAGTGGCACGTGGCCTCATCTCTTTAGTCCCAACATCTTTTCCTAGATATGGGGCTTGACTTGCTAGCTTACGGTGCATTTATTACTTGTGCAGGGCCTCCATGCTAGTGACAAGACTTGACCTTTATGCTTATGACAGACATTCCATCAATCATTCGAATAAGATCCGTGCAGGCGATCTCTTGGGAGAAGTGACCATGGAGGATGCTTGTGGTTGAGGCTCGCGCATCAACTTCGGGGCTTCGTCCATTTGAGGACCTCAACTACAACCAAAGGCTTCCAAGCCTCGGGCCATGGGCCTCGGTTAGAAGCAGCTCGGATATAACCCACCTCGGCAATATGGGCCACCTCGGCAGGAATGCCACGTGGATCAGGATGAGTGGGCCACTGGCCCAGGTGGGTAGGACAGGGGTGACAACACGCAACAAGACCTGCGTGAATTCAAAATGCAAAAAAAGTGGGGCTGGCCCCCTATTGTGAGTGTCGAGGCTGTCAAAGCCTCCTTGTTAGTGAAGCATCTCTCATGAAATTAAACTCTAAGCCCTCATTTTTCTCAACTTTTCAGCTTCGATAATTACAGTCAATTATTTTGAAAAAAATATAATAATATCTAAACCAAAGATTTTAGACTTTTGTACCATCTCTAAGGAAAAATCTATGCTTGTCGTTATCTTTGACTGAATGCGTTTGTCTAAAGTCTAAATTTTTGACAGAATTTGATGGAACGGCCTTGCTTTTTTTTTTTTTTATTTTGTAGAAGAAGAAGCTGACTTATCTGGATTTATTAAGCTGAGCCAAACATAACGACGTTGGCAGATAAACCTTTGTGTTGTTAATCAGGAAAATTCTGCCTTCTATTATAATACATGAAGATCGGCGAATAGTATTAAGAAGCCAATTTTACAGAAGAAACGGAAAATATGGATAAAAGAGAACCCCAGCCTTTGGCATATCGAAAACTTACAATTATCTAATTATCGGTTTCTATTAGTTTAAAGAACTGAAGGTCATGGATTGTTGGGCTGAGACTTGTTGATAACACGAGCTCTGGTATCGGTGCTAGGTGGTCTTGGACCTTCTTATCACCAAAAACTAGTTTAAGAGGTAAGACTTTCCGTCACATTTATAAATTGACCACCAGTCCCTTCCACAACTGATGTGAGATAATCTCAACAAGATTGAACTCGACTTTGTATCTCTTATCATCATTGTGTTGATACTGTCCATTACAGCGTATCAAACATGTCCTCCAACTATTTATAAAATAGCCTTGGAACTTTGCTCTGGTGGCCATGGCAGCTTATGCACTGAGAAAGGCATTCCAATAACTTAATTTCAAGAGTCTTGAAATGAGCTAACTGCATTTGCAGTTCCAGCCTCTCTCTTCTCAGGTTCTCATTCTCCTCCATTAGCAGCAGGCGAGCATTTCCCTCTGAGGTTGTCGATTTGATTTTTTCACAGGCTTTAAGATAAGCCGGAAATGCACTTTGCTCACATTTCTTTCGAGTGATCTCCACAAGCAGATGCCTATACCCTCTCTGGAACTTCTCATGCTGAAATTCCCATCTCTTCGACGCTGTTTTCTTGAATCCCTAGTATAGAACTAACATCATGTTAAAGATATAGAATTAATTATTTCATTGTCTTTAATACTTCTGCACACTGTTATCCTGTTATGTAAAACATTAAGAGGGATTGAGATTGAGTACAGAGAGACTTACATAGGTATTAAGCTGTCGAATGAAGCTTGAAAAGTTATTATGCTTGAAGTATCTAGGCAACATAACCTCGGAAAACTCTGCAGGATTCCATACAACAAAACCATTGCCCTCAGAGTTCCATGAAACTATCCTTTGCCCACTTGCTATAGCTTCTTCTTCATCATCCTCTTCCTCCAAGATATCATAAGTTTTGGACAGAAATGGAGGTGGGCACTTATTCCTCCGAGACTGGCCAATTTTCAAGCTTACCCCCCTTTCGAGCTGTGCACCTGTTGGAGGAGCCATGCTTGATTATTTTGAGCAACCTCCAAAGAAAGGCCTTGGAAACTACTAGCACAAGTCAAAGTGGCTTATATATTTCTTTTATTCACCTTTTAATAGGCCATTCTGGTAGCATGTTCTACCTTTTGTCTTGGACTAAAACAACATAAAAAGAAGAAAGGCTTTTTCATTTGTACACTCTTGTTAACACTTATATTGTTGTCCTATCAAAAAGCAATACTGTTTTTT